TCCTGGAAGTAACACCGAAGCGAACGGACTTCCGATGGGTCGAAGCTTGGTGCCGTCGAATGACCGCGCGGGGGCATCAATGGTGTGTTCGTGTTCTGACTCATGTTCGTGGTGTTAGTAGGAGCGGGGCTCGAAGAGGACGCGGTAGTAGTTGAAGGAATCGTAGGTGCGGGCGGTGCGGGGTTGGAGTTCGAAGCTGCGTTCGAAGGTGCCAATAGTGGCGGAGGTGCCAGGTCGGATGTAGGTATGACTGAGAGTCGCGAAGAGGATGCGATGGGCGGCTGAGCGTGGGCGCGAAAAGAAGACGGAGTCGGAAGTACGAGATTCGAAGTAGCTGGGATGGGATCCTCGGGTTTGGGCGAAGAACTGGATCGTTCAAAAAGATCAGGAGTCGAAAAGTCGTAGTCGGAAGTAGTGAGGCCTAGAAGCTCGGGGGATGAAGTGTGTTCTTCGGCGGTCGAAGGGATTGGTTCTTCGTCGAAGTCGTCCTGGAGTTCTTGGTCTATCTCGTCTTCTTCGTCGCGGTCGAAGTCACCGGGGATTGTTGGAGAGGGGGTTGAATGTGTTCGAGAGGAGCTGTCGAGGTTCTCGGTGGCGCTGCGGCTAGCAGCCTCACGCGCTTGCGAGCGGGTGACTACTGGAGACGTTTTCGGAAACCCAAAAGCGGCGAATTCTTGCCTGAAATCCCCTCGCGGTGGGCTCCAGAAATGATACGACCTATGAAACCCTAACCCCTAACCTGGGTGCGACCTAAAGGGACTAGAGAGACGGATTATAGTCTAGTGAGAGGGGAGTTAGCAGCAAGGTGTCCCGCGGTTCGAGTGAACACGAGAAACGCCCTTGGAAAAGGCTACGAACAATGGGGAAGGTACGAGGTGGCTTTGACACGTTGTCGAAGCTACTCGGAGGCTGTGGGTGGTTAGCAGAGACGATTGAAGCTCAGCAGAGCTCTTTGATGTATCGTAGAAGGAAGGGACACGACTCGATAGGGCGGACTTAGCTAGGGCGTGGTTCGCAGTTTCTTCGATAATAGTCGAAGTCGAAGGGTTCATCGAGACGGTATCGACAAGTAAACGCAGTGGGTGAGGTTTCGAGGTTACACAGCGAAGAACAAAGTGGCGCAGTTGGGGGTTTAGACGCAGGGCGAACTCGACTTATAAGCTCTGAACTCGAGGGAGGGAACCGGATCTTGTATTTTTGGAGAGAAGTATGACAGAATTTATACAACGCATAGGACGCTACGACTATCGAGAGTGGCACAAGTACAAGGGGCTTTGCATTGTTCTGCACAAATCTGCCTCTCCGAGTGGCATGCATCAAATCCATCAGTAGAGTGACATCATGCCAAACGCGGAGATAAAGAGCAACATATGGCCACTTCGGACTGGTATCCGTCGTTGAAGGCATGCTGCGAGGTTCGATACCTAATCGGGAAAGACCGGCTACGTTGGTGTGGCATGGAGTGATGCGCGCGCTTGGCTGAACAGCGTCAAGTGGCCCTATTGTCCGCTGAATGCGGGAGATGTCCCGAGATCTATGCACGAGGCATCGGGACGACCGTGTATCACAAAACCTGCAAACCCACCTTATAGCTTGATAGTTAGGGGGGGGAGATAAAGCACTTAAGTATGGGGGAGGTAATGCTATTAAGCGCAACAACGAAGTGAATAGAACTGGGGGACAGGGTGCCCCAGGATGCTGCCTTATATACATGAGGGAAAACCCCCCAGGGACCGGTAATGGACCCCTGGTACCTAGCTGGGTAAGGATTACTAAGTATCATGTGCTCTATGATGTCATATATGATGTCATAGTCTGGCCCTGCCCTGCCCTGGGCCTAGGGTCCAGAATTGACCAGCCTATGGCCTAGTGCCTGAGCCTAGCTCCTACCTATGATGTCAGAATGATGTCATGGTCCAGAAGGAGCCTGGTTTTTATCTAGAAAAGGTCCGGCATCAGAGTCCAGCCTGATGTGTCCAGAACAAGATCATGTGTCGCTTATTTAAGCGGATAACCCCTTAGATATGCAGCTGTACCCATATGCGGACGGATAAGTATGGATAAGTCCCTATACCCTTTGATATGTCCACAGAAATAGCGGAAAAATTAGGTAAAATTAGGGAAACTGTGACACTGTGCCGAGCTTCGAGTAAGCGTCGCGCACCGTCAAAGATGTCGAAGAGCGTCGAAGGCAAAATCGAAGTGTTGGGAGACTGAGTCGAAGTGCCGGGCGGGATGCGACTGCCGAAAAAAGGTGTATTGGGGCCCAGAGGGGCTTGGCGCCTATCATCGGCCAGCATCAGTGTGGCCATCGGAAAAGGTGACTTCCCCAGCACCTACTTCGGCTGTGGGAAGCAAGGGTACCGACGCTTTGAGTGCCCCAACTGTAAGGACAAGCCATACACAAAATGCGCCGACGTGCGGGCTACGGTTGCCTCGAGATCCACCCAGGCCACGACAGGCGCCCCCGTCACGACATCTGTCACAATGTGCTCAGCCACAGTCCCCTGGTCGGCCTAGGACGATCCCCCGGTGGTGGGAGCCACCACACCATGTGGTCACATGGTTGTATCAATTGCGGAGCAATCGGACCGGACCAGAGCTCCGGCCACACTTCTTTTGTTCCATTGTTCCTGTGGCCAAGTGGCCCTTGTTCTCCTTTTGGACTCTATTGTTCTTTCTTCTATTGTTCTGCCGTGGGAATGCTTTCCCCTGCTCATGTATATATAGAGCTCTGTAGCGACCCTTTAATGAACACTTCTGTGACCCACTTCGACTTCAGCCCCACTTGTGGCATTCAGTCCTTCAGTGCTAGTCCTGTGCAACTGCTCCCTGCGTCGCCTTTTGATAGGTTATGAGCCCCGCGCTCTAGCAGTCTTTCACACACACTACTAGCGCGCCACAGAGTCAATCTCTTCAATTTTCGGACCACTCCTTGTCCCAATACTCTCACATCTTTCCCTCTTGCCACAATCTGCGCTTTCATCCTCTGCCACTCTGCTTGTGCCTACAATGTCGAACCACTCGTCCTCTCCCTCCTTCCCCAAGCTCAATGCCTCGAACTACAAGTCCTGGGCTGGGGACATGGCTGCCTGGCTGCGCTCTGCAGGCCTGTGGCGCCTTGTCTCTGGTGCCTACCTCAAGCCAGAAGCAAAGGACCCCAAGGCCCCCACTGAAGCGGAGGCCACACTACTGGAGAAGTGGGAGGTGCAGGAGGCAAAGGCTGCTGGGTGGT